TTTTTTAAGATTAGGATGATTAACATAATTTATAGGTTTTGACAATCCCTTATAAAACGCATTTTGCTACCTATTTTTCAACTAATTTAAACAACAATAAACAATATGTAAAAACAATATATATAGTTTTAAATGAAAATTAAAAAAAAAACCAAACTATCTATTTCATTCTCATTTTTTTTCTTACTTAAAACGTAATCTTAACGTACAAGACTTACGAGGTAGAGAACGAAATGTGCTGGATGGAATCCAGAAGAGCGAAGACGATTGAAATGGTGCTGGCAAAATGAGTATAAACATTAAAAAACTTTAAAAAGGCTAACAGTGCTTAAATGCTCCAAATTTTATTCAACGAGCCAAGAGCGGGTAGCATTGGCTTCTCGAGAGTTTCCTGTTCGATTGGCTGACAAGGGCGAGAGAGAGCCTGGCAGCTCTCACAGTCAACGTTAGACCATCTCAAAACAAAAAGAAATTGAAGTGCAGAGACACTTACACCATTAAAATCATATTTTTCGGGCAGCACTACCAATTGTGGCAGGCAAACTTGTGGGAAATTCAAATTAGCTATATGCCACAAGACGCAAAAATCCATTTAACTTAAAATAATTTCATACATAATGAATTAATAAAAAATCCCAAGGTTTTTAACCCAATAACCCAACGCTATTTGACCTATTAACCCGGGGTGCTAACTGGTCCTTTTATAATTTAATACAGCTTCAAGTGACAAAAAAGTGCCAATCACCAGGCGACCCGAGGCTCTAAAAAACCACTTTATAATCTAATAAAGCCTTGAATAATAACAAAGGTACTAATAACCAGCCAACCCGGGGTGCTAGCTGGTTGCTTAATTTATTAATGAAGCATTGAAAATTAGCACAAGCGCCAATCTCCACGTATCCTGGAGCGCTTGTAGGTTGCTTAAATAATTAATAAAAAGCATTAAATAATAACACAAGCGCCAATCACCCGTTATCACAGGTTACTTGCTAGCCTCTTTATAAATCAGTTAAGATCTAAGTAACAGCTAAAGCAGATGGCTACGTGGTAAATAGCGTTCGTATGTTCTACTGCTGCTTCATTATTTAATAAAATAGGATGTAAGCGCCCTAGGTTGTCTGATGATTTGTAGTTTTATTATTATCTAATGCTTTTTATTAATCAATGAAGCGACTAGGAAGCGCCCCAAATTATGTAGTGATTGGCGCTTGTGTTATTATTCAATGCTTTATTAAATAATAAAGCGACCAATAAGTGCCCTGGGTTATGTGTTGATTTGCGCTTGTATTACTATTTAATGCCTTATTAAATTATAAAGTGACCAGTAAGCGCCCTTGGTCGCCGGGCGATTGGCAGTGTTGTTATTATTTAAAGCTTTATGAAATTATAAAGTGACCAGTAAGCGCCCTTGGTCGCCGGGCGATTGGCAGTGTTGTTATTATTTAAAGCTTTATGAAATTATTAAGTGGGTGGTAAGCGCCTTGAGTTGCCTGCTGATTAGCGCTTTTGTTATTATTTAAAGCTTAATGTAATTATAAACCGACCAGGAAGTGCCCTATGTTATGGGGCGATTGGTGCTTGTGTTACTATTAAATGCTTCATTAAATTATAAAGCGTCCAGTAAGCGCCCTGGATTGTCTGGTGATTGGCGTTTTTGTTATGATTTAATGCTTATTTAAAGTATAAAGCGATTAGTAAGCGCCCTGGTTTGTCTGGCGATTGGTGCTTTTTTTATTATTAAATGCTTTACTAAATAAAAAAGCATTCATGAAACGCCCCAAGTTACTGGGTTAAATAGCGTAGGGTTATTAGACTAAATAGCTTGGGGTTTATTTATTAATTTATTATGTATGAAATTCTGTCGAGTTATATGGATTTTTGCGTCTTGCGGCATATAACCAATTTGAATTTCCCACATGGTTGCCTGCCAGAATTAGCAGCGCTAGTCTTGGGTCAAAATTAAAGATGTTTTCTTATATTCTATACGACGAAGTGTAAGTGTAAGTGTCTCCATCAAACAATTAGTGCCGCTGTCAATACCCCGCTTTCTGGCGGAGAGCTCACTCCGCTATTGATTAAACACCATCCGTTTACTCTTACAGGTATCTAATGTATGTTAATACTTAATTTATTAAATACTATTTACTTACAAAGCAGGTTTACTACCTTATCCGTATTTTGAATGACGCAGGTCTTAAATACCATAGCTCAGTAAATTGAAGATTTCATCAATACGAAACCGTTTATTTATCTCGATCTGTTTGAAGCTTGCATATAATTTTTTTTGTGAACATTAATTACTCATACTTGTTATTATTTTTAACATTTATTAATTTATAATTTGTAAAAATAAATATTTTGGATGAGAGACTCTAGAATAAAGCAAAAATATTTCTCACAAAATCTTTTTGCAAAGTATACAGTAAAAATTAACTGATTGTTCTAAATTATCACGGACGCCATCGATAAGGTCTTCGCAACTCATTTGTGTTAGGTGTATAACTGTAGGTGTAAGATTTTTTAAGGCGTGTTATAATAGGCATCACTATGCTATGAGAATACTTTTTAAGATCAAGTCTTTATGACCCTTTCTTTCTACTAGTACGCTTTATGCAGCGCATCAAACAACTATTAGTATTTAAAATGTTTTAGCGCGTGCGTTAGACATATTAGTCCAGAATTTTTTTTTGTTCTCATGTATTTGGAATGAGTAGTGAACTTGCGTTACGCTATCAACCTCAAGTGCTAATGTTGAATTTACAAAATTGGCTCAATCATTCTCATGCCCGTAATTTATCTTAAAATATTTAGATTTATTGTGATATCTTCTTCAAACCACTCGATCCCGCACACTTCTAGCGTATGGTGATTATTATATTTTTTACGTCGTAAAGTAAATCATTAAATGTGCGAAGAGGTTTACTTATCCATGTGTCTAATGACATATCCTTGTAAGAATACCACTACAACTTCTTTGAGAATAAAATGTCAGAATCGTAAAAATCTTGAATGTGTATCATAGAATCGATGATGGTTAACCATGAAATCTTTATTTCTTCTCTTGCAATTTTTACTTATAGAACAAGGTTTTTTGTTAGTAGATAACCGTTTTGTTGTAAATTTTTTGAGCCAAGAAAATAAAGATTTGTTCCTCTTCTTCTCGTCCTTCTTATTGAGAAACAGGGTCTTTTATTCTATGTAGTCCTTTTCCTTCTTACTACTTTTCCACATTGTGATATACTAAGCAAAAACTGGAATGTAATATATATATATATATAATTTTAGATTTCACGTGTACCCGTTTGTCCGGCTTTTGATGGTCCTATACCCCTGAAATTCACCATGCTTGTTCCTTTTCATCTAATTACCTAGTTTGAAAATCTAGCGTGTGGGCTCCTTGCAAAGTTTCTACGGAACAACTCGGTCATCCATCCTCCTGCTGGGTACTAGTTATTGAAGCGATCGTCTTAAGGAGGTTTGGGAGAACAGTTCAAAATGTCGAATCATGCCAAAAAACGTATGCATTATTCGAGCATATCAGGATTGCACACGAATTTTTTCAGATTTTTTACCAGGGGAAGTTTTCAAGAAAATAATTGTTAAATATTGACAGTTTAACACGTTCTCTTATGAGAGAACAAGGCTAAGTTGCCTTTAAATTAAAAATTAGGGCACATTATAAATATGTTAGGTTAAAAAAACGTTTTTATATGTACTTTAGTACAAAAGGAAGACGCTCAACAAAAAAAATCACAATTTGCCAGATATTTAAAAAAAATATAATGAATTACAGTCGTTCAGTTTAAAGTTTGTAGAGTGCAAGATGAGGTGCACGGTAAAGGGGCACATCTGCGCGAGTAGGGAGACTCTCCGTTCCTCACTTCTCTAAATGGTATTCCCAAACTTCCTTAAATACACCCCAGCTATTGTCAAATGTAATCAAAGGATCCGTTTTACACTAAATCATTTAACTTGCTGTTCGAATTCTTCTAAAACCCAAAGTGAATTTACTGATGAACTGGCCAAGTGTAGGCTTCTCCCGAAAAAGGACCCGACATAAATAAGTGATTTTTTGGCATTCAAGGTACTTATTTCATCGAAAAAGCCCAAGGAAAAATATTGAAATTTTTTGGTGGGATTCAAACTCTTACTTAAAGGTAGCAACACACTCTTAGTAATTTTAGTCTAGTATAAAAGGTACCAAGAATTTATTACATACAACTGTGGGCATGTATACTATAATTTTTTACCTGTTATCACAAAGTGCAAGTTATTTTTATTGACTTAAAAGTAAAAACAAAAAATGTTTAATTATAAAATATAAAATTTGGATTCATATCAGTTTGACTAGCATGATGCTTTTCTCTACGTTCAATATATGTGCATTAAAATAATGCTGACTATATATCCTGGCTTAAAACTTTTTAAGGCTTTTAATAAATTTTTGTGATACTTATGTCACAGATTACATATTTTAAAGATGGTACAGAACACAGAATTGTCACAGAGGTGACGTTAAGCTTCATTATTGTCGTAAAAATGTAACTGCGAAGATGATTTAATTAAAAGTATGCAGGTGTAAATAAATTAAATTAAATCCTAAAAATTTTCTAGCCAGGAATCTAATTACAAAGTATCAGTATTACCAAACATCACTGCATCTTCAGTTTATCCAGGATTATATAGTAATTTATATAGAAGTACTCTATTTTTTAGAAGAAGCCTAAAAATATATCCTCTGTCCACCTCATACGAGAAAGACTCAATTACTGATTCCTGAAGCTCATCAAGCTTAGCTAACAGACCTAAGTTTCTTTCCCTTTCCCATTTAATTGTTAACTACTTAATTCTTCTGTCAAATAATAACTATGACAAAGATTATTTTTGTCTTTAATGATAGAAAACTATGCAAAAGCCTTTAAGTTTGACATACGGGCTGTAAAGTTTAGCCCCAAAGATTATTCTCATGCACTGGCCTCTGCTTCGTATGTTGACTCTAGTTTCTTTAGGACAATGATCAAAGAGGCGAGTTTTTGGGGCGATGATTTCGTCATGTCAGGCAGCGACTGCGGACATGTATTCGTCTGGGAGCGCAACTCTGCACGGCTGTGTATGTTGCTCGAGGCGGATCAACATGTGGTTAATTGCGTGCAGCCTCATCCATTTCTACCGCTGCTTGCTACCTCGGGTATCGATTACGATGTCAAAATCTGGGCACCTATCAACGAAACTACACACTTTGACGAGACATTTGCAGAAGATGTAAGTTCTTTCTTCCGACTTTAACGTTACATATACTTATCATTTAATTAATTTCCTTAACTGCGTGTTTATTGTTCTACAACATAGTTTTGATGTAAATATGATAGTTTAGTTGAAAAGAAAAAAGCGTTTTCTAACTTAAAATGATCATTATTTTATTGAGTTAATAACCAAACTCCAGTAAGTCTTATATCGATGTAAACTAAGTATCAATTCATGAGAAAAAAAGTGTATCACTAATCAAGTGCAAAAAAAAAACTTTTTCTGTGTAGAAAAAATCTCATTAAATTATATGTCATAATGTAGAAAATACTCACATTAAAAAAAAAAGAACTTTCGAAACGTTTTTTGTACTGATAAAACTGATGAAAAATTACAATTAACATATTAGCATAAAATACTTGAATGTTATATAAATGAAAAAAAATGGAAGTTTCTAATGTCTTAATTTTTGCTTTTTCAATGTCTAATAACAATTTAAAAGTATAATAAAGTTTTATAATAATAATAATTTAATGGTCCCCAATGTTACTTTACTTCTATTGTTATTTTTTTATGATAGGCAGAGCGATAAAAATAGGACGAATAAAGATAAACAAAAGGTTCTATAACAAGTTATTGATTACATAATAACTGTTACATGGTGGTTATTTTTAAGTAAAGTATATTATGAAAAAAACTTATTATCACTTGTATAATTTTGACTTGGCTGTTTAAATTTAATGTTAGTTTTATCGATTATACAATTATGATGTTTTTATTGGAATCAGCAGAAACTTACATCTAACTATAAGTAATTTTAAAAAAAGTTAGTTTTTTTGTAAATGAGGCGTTTTACGTCAACTGCCCTACCGCCACCCGCGAGCAACAAATCGTGCTCTCTTTAACTTGCGATTACGGTATTATGACAACGTTAAAAAAATAAATAAATATACAGAATCAACGTGATTTTTCCTCAGTCTGCAGAAGGTGCAATCAGTTTTTTAAAACTATGATGATATAACATAAAAAAAACACAAAACTTGTTGTATTTCGAAACCCCATTTTTAATACCTTTCTAATCATGGCTAATCGAGAGAAAATTTTTTATGTCGGTGTAGTGATTTTCAGAAAGTACTTTTTTCATTTTAGCAAAATATTAAACAACAAAGTTGGGCGCGATGCCTCGGTGCACAGTGTATCCAGCCCAAAAAAGCTGTCCAAAAATAGAAAAAAAGCGTTTCTAGTAACGGTTTTTTGTTGTTGGGTTGGCTATGGTATACTTGTAAATGTTATAAAATACTCATAAATTCGTTGGTTTATATTTACGTGCTCCACAGTAGTAGTAACAGTTCTACCTTTGTTTGAGCAGTGTTGATAGTGCTACCATGTTACTGAACGACTTGTGTGTTTAAAGTTGTGCATAAATTGTAATTTTAAAATAATTTTAATTGGATGCAACGGAAAAAGTTTGTTAAGGTAAGTCGAATGAGATGAAAAGTGTTTTAAATCATATTTTTACAGAGGTGCAGTTAATCAGTGGAATGACAATTATTTTTAGTTTTATTATTTGAAATCGTTCGATTGTGCTACAGTATTAATGAAAAAAACATATTGTTCTGCATTTTTCTGCCATAAAACTAACTAAGAATTGTCCATTAACGTATTTTAAATGATTTGAAAAAAAAGCAACGCCAACTTGTACTTTTTTTAACCGTAGAAAAAAAAAGTTCTTACTTGATTGCAATAGTTTTTTGACGGTAAAAAATAAAGAACTTTAATTCTGTATTTTACACTAATTTTGTAAAAATCTTACCTTATAATATAAGAAACTAAAAGTGGGATACAAATGAGCTTACAACATTCACACACGTGCGCACACTCACACGCACGCACGTACACACGCACATACACACGTATATACGTATATATATATATATATATATATATATATATCTATGCTCCCAAGTTCCATTAGGCACAAATATAGTGATAAAACTGAAAAGCTTACAACCCTAAGTAGTCGAAGAACTATGATGTGACAGGTAAATAAGCATGGTGGGGAATTTAAACGTCTTTAATTAAAAACATTGATTAAAAAAATTAAGTGTTAAGATGACATAATATTTATAAAGACTAGTGGATAAATATTTCAGTAACAAATATAGCTTAGATAATATTTTTATGTGAAATTGACAATAATAAATTCAGCATTAGACAGCTTTAGCGTTATTCTAACTAACAATTTTAAAACGATTAGCTTAATAAATAACACAGGACCACAAAAAATTAGTCAGGGTGCTTCTAACGCACCTAGCTCACTCTATGTTTTTCTGGTCGCTAAAACCAAATTCGGTGTCAGAATCACCCCAGCGCATGGAGATTCCATTACATCTAACCTCAAAACCTTAAGAAATTGAATAATGTTAGTTTTTCGACGAAATTCTGTAAATTTATGGAACTTATGGCCCTTCTAACCAAAAATGTTAAGCCAATAAGCCTTAATACACAAGCCAAAAATACAGAAATCGTTTTTTAAACCATCAAAACTCGCACAATCTAACCACAAACCTCTAAAAATCCAGTGACTTAAGTTTTTTCACGAAATTTCAGAAAATTTTGCCCTTTTTGGTACTATAACCAAGAACCACAAGCACAGTAGCTGTAGAAAAACGTAGAGTAAGCTAAATTTGATAAAAGCACCCTCACTTTTTTTGTGGTCCTGTGTAATGAATAAAAGAACTTAATTAAAGAACAAATAGTGAAAGAATCAAATTATTAAATAAATGTAAGGATACAAAGTTAAATAATCTATTCTTTTTCGGAGGTAGTATTTTATAGAATGAATTGACCACGTGTCCCACGAAAGTACCGAAAGAAGGGAAATTAAGGATTCATTTAAAGAAAATCTTAATGTCATTGTATTAGGTAGATATTCATAAATTGAGAAATCGATGGAAAGTGTTTGTGATGAGACTTCTGGGAATACTATGTACAAAAAAAAAATTCAGTGATAGTAGTGCATTATATGAAAGTATCTTTTAAATTGATTGTTCCATAACAACTTCTATAAGTATATTCTATAGGTATATAAACTACTTAATTGAGAAAAACTGGTTCTCTTTTGTCCATTAATGTTTGGAGTGGTTGAAGTATCTGGCGCGCTTAGAATTGAAGCATGAGTAATGGTTCAAAGGGTTGGGTTATTTTCTTAATTTTTTAATGTTTATCGTCCTGGTAACAAAGAAGCATATATGATTTGTAGGGAGTACGAGATCTTTTCTTGCATGTTTAGTCTTTCTCGTTCGATGTTTTAGGATAGAGTAAACACGGAACCCTTTTTTGAAATTTTACCTTTTCTTGTGTAAACAATGGTGAATTGGGACAAGAAATTTGGAAGAATTAAGATTTTACATCTTTTTGGTGGAACTGAGATTTGTTTCCAGGTCTGTGACGGTCATTTTTAGATCCTTAACTAAGAAAAAATAGCACATATGCTAAGCTGTTCGATAAAGCTTTGAGCATTCGTACAAAACATCCATTCGTAAGTTTGATGTAGAGGATAACTATTTATGATAGCTTCTGCTAGCATTTAGAAAAATTAAAATAAACATGATTGTATGAAACCAGCACTTGCTGTCCTAAAGTTAGTTAATTTATCCCAGGTTCACTTTCTTGCTAAATTGGCTAGCTTCCAGAAAGATTCTACGTTCAATAGTTAAGGTATGAAGTTTTTTTGTGACGGCATACTTAGCCATGCATATCGAAACATTGTGCGGTCTCCCTACTTTTCTAGGTCGCTGGCTGCATAAATACCGCTAGTTAGGCCAGTCTGTATATTTCAAGTCTCATGTTGCGTCCCATGATTCCAGATGCACTATTCAAAGACGTGTAAAAAATTAGAATTTTTTTGTAAAATTTAACACACTAAAATGAAATAACAAATATTGTGGAGGCTGACCGAGAATGAAGTCCTAAGTTGTCGAAAAACTGTTTTTTTTTTGTTAATAAAAAAAGAAATGGTTCATTCAGAAAAATAAAATACAAAAACTTTAGAAATATTGATTACGGATCGATCTAGCCTAGTTCGACTTCAAAATATTGAGATGTTAATTTAAATTTTTTAACAAAATTTAGTGAAAGTGTAGTTTTTGCTTAAAAAAAACGTTTTTAAACATTTTATAAATATTGTAAAGTCTTAGAAGAAACCGATTTTTTATAAGAAATGACTATTTTTTAAAATCTAAATTACTCACACACCCTTAGGTCTTTCCAATCTATCTAGGGCTTAAAATTTTGTCGAAACGTTGCTCTAACATGTGTATTGCGCACTTTTTAAATTGACCGGTAATGTGCGGAAAATTGGTTCAAAAATCGATTTTTTTTTTGTCAATCAAGAACACTCCTTTTTCGCTAAAAAATTTGTTTCTTTTTACTATTGCTAATACTATTTTATAGTTGATATTTTTATGCGATTTACGAAAAAAAAATTTATGTACCACCTTCTAGAGCCGAGATAATTTTTTTTGTTTCAATTCACGAGGACATATTTTACGTCGCACAGCGGTCAGATTTGAATACATTTAAGTTGAATACTTGTACTTTTTATAAAATAATATATTGCACCTGCATCGCATTAAATAAGTGAAAATAATAATTTTCGATTTTAACCGTGTAAAAACTACTTACTATCCTTAAAAGCTCATACCTATATAAATGTACAAAAATGACGTTGCGTAGAGCAGCTATAACGTAGTTGTTAAATGGCTAACGTAAATAAACCTTTTTTTATATAAGTTTTTATATTTTAAGGTAATATTGAAGTCCTTAGGGAGTAAAAAGAATGAAATAGCAGTCAAAGAATACATGGTATGAAACCGTAAAAAACACATTTTGTATACTTGAGAAATTATTTATTGGAAATCGATAGGTTTTATGTAAATACAATAAAATGACGTAGGTGAATAATTAGTAAACAATATTCAGTATACAAAAATAAAAAATTTATTTTATAATATCGT